ATGCAAAAGGATTTGAACTCACACCTGCATCAACTTATAAGACTGTCACACTTACCACTAGACCAGGAGGTGGCCGCGGTAGAGGCCGTTCCAATGACCATATTTCCCCTGAGCAGCCAAACTTGGTTCAAAATTCTTCTATAACTTCTTTCAGGGAAACGATTAGCAGAAACGGAAGGCAGATTTGAAATTAGCGTTCGAAGACGAGTGTAATGGTATGAATCACGTTTCGAAAGGCTACGGACATTAAGTATCGTTCCCTTATAAGTCAGTGGAACCTGCGGTCTGGATTGTCCTACCGCCACAACTACTTCTTTTTGCACTACAAAGAAGTACTACTTCTTTTCTCATTACCCACTTCATATGACCTTCAACTTATGCAAGTCAAATTTGTTCCATCTCTTGCCTTCAATATCTCAGGACTAGAGGAGACAATCAGGCTCAAATTACTTCTGTGCAATTTACTAAAAATGGGGTAACCAATAAATTTATTCTTCTCTCCTTCCCTTAGGTAGTAATGCAGACTTACATGTTACCGTAATCCAATATTTCCGCACTATTTTCCATTTGCATAAGTAAGGAGAAACAACTATATCTTGTCTTAGAAAAAACGACTTTGATTGAAATTCCTAACGTGTAAAGAAGGAAGCTTAGCACTGACAACAATTTGGAAAGCACAAACATTTAATTGTTTTGGAGGTAAGTCAGTGGGAGATGGCGCAACCCCTAGAAAGGTGTGGCAGCCACAGTTTTTTGGGTTTGTGTCATACCTAACCTTCAAAAGAGAATTTTAGCTAGCAATATATACACACCTTGATAGCTAAAATCTCCTAGTGTTTGTATAAGTGATAAAAAAATAAATTTATCTTTTTTTCTTTGAGCATAGTTGCTGGAAGAACAACCGCTTGAGATATTGGTTGGCTCTTAATGCCAAAGTTTGATGGTGATTTGAGCAGGATTCATGCTATGTGCAAATAGGGAGCAGTTTCGCATGGAGTGCAGAAGGAGGAAGCTATTTCACTTCCGAATCGTTAACAATGTCGAAAACAGCCACTTCAATTGGGTGGCCAAATATTGAAAACCCTCAGAATTCGCTAAAACTTACCCATAGGAGTTATTTGACATGATAATTACGAATATGTTACTAATTATGCTTGGTAGAACCTTTGTGTCGTGCCTACGGTAGGCAAACGATAAGGTGGGAGGGGTAGGGGGAGGAGGAGGACCGTGACGGCAGAGTGGGCAATCCAATCCGCACAACGGCGGCACCGCGGTTCGCGTTGGGACCCACGCGGATTACGGTAGGTACGGTACGGATTACGATCCCGCTCCGAGTGTCCGCCGCGCGTCATTCCTGAACATTCATTTTCATTGTTTTATTCTTATTATATATCTGTTCTTACACTTACTTGATGCCAGTTTCACTATAATGAGTACATTTTTAACACTTACCAGTGAGTCTTTATACATTTTGGCATCTTGGCAAAGAATCCTGCTTGAGCGTGTTCTTCATTTCCTTAATGGCCCCATATCATCACTCAAACATTGGAGCAAAATTCGCCGTTTGCAGTTTTTTTGCAACTTTGATGAACTCTACACAGAGAATAGCCCCCACTTTTTTCGCCCCGTTCCAGAGTTGCGACGGTACGTGGTCGATCGTATTTGGTCTGTTCTATGGTCACTCATAGCGATTTAGAACTCCAGATATCTTTCATGTGCTGCTAAAGTTTCAGATAGCCTTCTTCTTCCTTCTTATGTAGCTTACTAAAATCTCGATCATTGAATCTCGATCTATCGTGTCGTGATACTCTGGATTTGTGCTAAAGACTGTATCTATGTCAGGGCTGGACATGTGCTCAAGAAGTGTACTCGCGAGGAGTGTGGGAAGACCGTCTATCCTTCAGAAGAGCTCAAATGTTTGGATGAGGTTTGCGCTGCATCTTCTTCTCTTATTACGTTTTGTTCAATATAAAATCTCTTAGATTGGGCACAAACAGTGTTTCAAGTGCACTGCATAAATGACATTGAACAGAAAAATTATGAAGATTGTGATAAAGTGCCACAATGTGAACCGTGGGAATACTTGTGCTTCTAAGGTTGGATTTTGACTAAAGTATTCCAGACAGTACCCAAAAACAGTTGCTTCCGTTGTCACGGATACTCTTGAAATGCGACGGCTTGCATATACGGATTACATTTGACAGATACTGCTGGATGGAACAACAGAAGGCAGACACCCATGAAGAAGTAACCAAAGTCGAGAAGAACGATGTTTCCGCACCTTTTATTACTGTCGATGTCGAGCAGCCGAGTAAGGGCAGACTATAGCCACATAAATCAGTTACAATCAAATGACCAGTGCGACAGTCATGTGATCTGTTTTTTGCACATTGCAGCCTTATAGATATAGCAGGCTACTTTGAATTGTAACTACCCTGCAGGAAGTGATAATGTAACTATTAGGTCATTCGGAAAGTTTTTTCGTTTTCGCTTTAAATTCAAACGAGCACAACTTTTTCCAGATCCTATCTCTTTCTTCCAAATAAATTTTATTGTGTTCAGCAGAATTCTGATAACATTATTGTAGTGCATGTGCTTTTTTTGCGAAGTCATTTTAGGGAAATCAATAAAACCTAGAAAGGCATTTTTAACAAGCTAATATTTATTAGGTCCTATTGTTTTTCACTGGGCATCGAGGAATTGGAGAATTTTGTGGCTGGTAAAGGAAGGTCCATAGAGTTCGAAAAATGAACAGGAATCTCGGCGTGCAGTCAACCCCTTTTGTGAGGGACATTTTTCTTACATGTGGTTTGACGGCGTCATGGGCGAGGATGGCACCTTTCATAGATTATACGTGCAAGTCTGCTCAGTTTTAGAATTTTGATAAACGGTCTTCAGAGCGGTATCATACTACTCTGCTCTGTCACCACAACCACATCTTAGCAAATTTATAGCTGCAAGACTAGCAGGATTACGTTAAATTGAGTACATCAACCTTTTGTAATGACTTACTGTTCATGGCCATGCTTGCGTTTGCTTGTCCTAAATGATTTACCACATTGTTGCTTCTTTTAGCTGTACTTGGCCAATTTTTTGTTGTAATTATCAATTCAGGCTAAAAAAGAATTGCCCCGTCAAATTATGAGAAACGAAAGCAGAGTCAACGCGCCCTCAATCTGCAAGTGCGACAATTTGTGAGGTATATGCAGGGCTCAGCACAGCTGGCACCGGGTCGAGCTGGATATCGTTTTTAGCGCGAAAAGCAAAGGGGAAATCGTTTCCACAGGGGCCGAGGCGGAGAACTGCCGCAAAAATGCCGCCGGCGTGCCACCGGCATGCCATTGGCAAGCTGTCCATCAACAAACAAAGGCGTTGTTTTCAGCCAAAACGCAATAGTGTGACACCAAATTTGGTGTGTGCATGCGCGTTGGTGGACCGGAACTACAGGTTAAAATTTATGAAAACTTATGTGAATGAAAGCTGTGCCCAACTTTTTTCTGAATTAGCTGGCACCGTGCCAGCTGGGTGCCAGCTGAGCTGGCACCGACACTTTGCTCACATAAGTTTTCATACTTTTTCACATAAAAAGTATCTACATTGTAAAAGATTACATACGGAGAAGAAACAGTTTCATAAAGTTCTCTTTTCAGCGTTTTATAGCAATTTGAAAACCACTCGGTCCGCTCCGCCGTCGAAAAATCGGCTTTTTCTGCTTCTCAAGATGTGATTCGACCACTTAGAAAGCTCAGAAAGCTGTGAAAGTTCTTTCATGAAATCAGAAATGCATGAAAACACTACTACATTTTTTTACATAATATAAAAATGATGACGGGTTTTCAAAACAAGTCAAAAGGGACTTCGTACGAAATTTTCAATATCAAACGGGGCTTCGTTTTGAAATTTCCCTGGTGCCAGCTCGTGCCGAGTCCTGGGTATATGCCATTAATAATTTTTGGTATTGCAGCTTTAGCGATGGTGGCTTCAAATGGGGCTATAGGCTATACGACACTGCAAGGCCTGCTTATACTTTTATGCAGCTATATTTGCGATTTGCTCTAAAGGACCCTTTGAGATGCTATGGTTTATATGATGAGATGGCAGGTTATGGCAGGAACACCTTCCAAAGCAATGCAGAACATTAGCTTTCACTTCTCTAAATCTGGACTTTTTGGAACAGACTCCAACCAACGTCAAAAAATACGTGACCTTAGCAAATGCACTGCGCACATTGAATGCTTCTTTGACTGCCTTACACTCAAGACTGACCTCAAAGAGTGCAATTATTCGAAAATTATGTTTTCATAAGTCGAATTTATAGCCACGTAAATTTCCCCACAAAGCGTTTTCTGCAAGTTCGGTAAGATCCTCAGATACTAGAAGAATTCCTCTACAATTTCGTATATAGCAACCCCTATTAGCCCTCTGGCACTCTCTTAAAACATGGCACCAACATCAAAGGCGCAAAAAGCGAAAAAACTTTCCGAATGACCTAATATAAAAGAGTAGGCTGCTAATAAAGGTGAACTCATTTAATAATTCTGGTAAGCTGATTTTGAGACTTTCATTGTAGACAACTACATATAAATGGCAGCTAAAGTCGTAGGAAGCCCTCACTTTTTTGCTTATTGCCATGACTAGAACATCTCACCGTAATACTTTCATTTTAGGACACAAAACGCTTTCTATGTATTTGACAAGACTTAAGAACGCCAAATATCTTTCATATTATTAAACTTTGAATAATAAGCAATCGCATGACACACTCAATCGCAAATCACACGATGCGGTACAACAGTGCGCAATCTGTGCAAAAATCCCAAATGTTTATATTAAACCCGAAGGATATACTCAGCGCAGTGGCGTACCGAGGGGGGGGGGGGCGCGCCCCCTTCCCCCAAGAATGGGGGTTGGGGGCCCGCAAAAATTTTGAGGAGTACCCCTAAAATTTTTTCGAAGTGCGTGGCCAACGCCACGCACCTTCATTCGAAAATTTTTTGTCGCCCCCCCCAAGCGGAAATCCTGGGTACGCCACTGACTCAGCGCAATAGATGATTTTAGAAATAGAGGAGAACAATCAGTAATCCAGCATTCCAAATCCATCAAAAAACAATATTGATAGCAGTAACCTAGAAAGGATACAAAAAGTAAAACTCTAGTTATTCTATAAACAGATACAAACTATAATTCATATTAATTATCTTCAATAACACTACACTGCACATCTGAAAAGGTGATCAGCATATCAAAAGAGTAAAGAGTACTATGTACAATATGCTCAAAAGCTCTACCTTCGTCTCGTACCTTCGTAACCTGAAATAGATAGATTGCAATTAATTGACCTGATAAGTGCACAATAAAAGAGCGATGATTCAGAGTTTTTAAGTATTAGACGAGTAAATGGAAAAAAATCATGGTTGCATAGGCAAAAACGTAAAGAGAATGAAAACGTCGATAAAAGTACACGCTCTATACGTACCTGTACTCTCATGCATTTGCGAGGTGCTTGGTATTAGCACGAGAATCGTCAAGCTTGTGTCCCTCATAAAGCGCTCATTCCGGTAGGGTTGCGAGTAACAGAATGCAGAAGATGTGGGAGATGTGTCCTCCTCCGGAACATGTTGGTCCACCATTGTAATTACGTCCAAACCAACTAAATGAATTGACAAATTTAGATTCAAAAGGATGTTTGAGGAGGTAAAAGAAAGATCAACACTTTTTACAACAGTTTAACCGATCATAGAATTCAACCAACGAAATCAGAATGAATCCATTCCAATCTTTCCAAGAAATGAACTAAAAGATAAGGGATATCAAAAGCGGAGCAGACATAAAATTTGCTGGATTTTTTCAAGTTAGTACCATAAAAACACTCAAAAAGAAACCGTTTGAAAACAGCTTGCGAGTGCGTCAAGGAAAGTGACAGAAAGATGTTAGAAGCAAATTACTGCATACCCATATCGCGGAGGTGCTCGTGGTCCCTATGGGGTACTATTGGCAAGAACATAGCATATATCACGTAGAGTATGAATGCAGCAACGATAGTATTGGCAAAGTTTCCCTGAGTGAACCTGGAAAATTCAAATTACAAACGCATAACATGCGCGATCTTCACATACCATGATGACAAGCCGGATTTTCGACTTCTGCTAACATCCTTCTTCGCATAAGCCGTGTTAAAGTACTTTAAATCGTACTACTGCTGCAAGGGAAACAGAGACATGAGAAGAATAAGTTGAGTGAAGAAGCAGATGACCAAAGACATATACCGCAATTGCCTTCCGAGATATACGGGATGTTTCCAACGGCCAACACGCTTTATCTGAAGAACGGGCTTCACGGCGACCTGTAATTGATTATAGGGAACACAAATTATCAAAGATAAGATTTTTTAGTGCAAGCAAATTGAAATGAGATTGCTCATGAAGAGTTTTACTATTTATTTATATATTAGTATTTTTACTCATAAATACCAGTCGCTAATGCAACTATTTCTTCTGCTCAATTTTTTGAAACTACTATAAAGGTTGTAAAGATACGAACGAAAGAGTAAATGATTGATGAGTCGATATTGTCGGTAATTGGCCAAGTCATTGTGGCTTACATCTTCGAACCAAATTATAAATTGAGAAGAACAGATCGGGTAGATAAATGAATTTTCCCATATATCCCATATCAACTGCTAAAAGACTACTAAAACAATGCTCACCCGCTGTATATTAACCATCACATAAGGTTATTTTATGGGCAGCTGTAACGAGTTGAAAGAGCAACTCGTGGTCAAAACAAACAATCTGCTTTTGCGTACGAGCAGTTTTACGAAACTTTACCCACACGGAGGAGCGGCAACGGCAGAGTGGGCAATGCAATCCGGTAACGGCTTCATATTTTCAATATAGGAGAAAGGAAAGCAAAGAGTGAATTAGAAACAGAAATAAAAAGACCGTACCTAGCTGTGCTCCCTAATTCAGCGCTTTGGCGGACGTCAAGAGCGGAATCTACCGTAATCGCGTGGGTCCCAACGCGAACCGCGGTGCCGCCGCCGCGATTGGATTGCCCACTCTGCCGTTACCGGTCCTCGGGAGGAGGGGGAGGGGGCACTAAGACAGAATTTACGGGAGGGAGGGGGGGGGGTATCCGGCGGTTGTGTGCCATACCGCTTTCTCACCCTGGCTGTGACGCTTTACATTGCAAAACAAGTGCAATTCTTATGAATGATAAAAATAAATGGTATATAAGAATGTTCATAATTATAATATTATGAATTATAAATTGAGAGCTCCGTTTCGCTCCTCTCCCTAGACGGAATATTGTGTTGTTTCTATGCCATCCCTGAAACTGTTCAGTAAGGAAGGATAGCTACAGTCAAAATAACTCATCTTTCTATGCAAAATTGATATTAGAGTTGAGAATTGATATTAAGTCAGAAATTTCTCAACAGCAAAGTATCCGATTCTTGGCCATATATGTTTTGCACAACACTTCGGAGCTTGAATGCAATAGACTGAAAGGGAAATAATATCGATGAGCTCAAATTCTCTTACGGAGGTTACCTGATTCGCCAATTACAAAAACCGTAGTTGCCTTGCACGCTCTTGCGGAAATCGAGATTTGCGGAAATTTTTTAGTTTAAAAACAAGATTCAAGGACAAAGCAGTGATAGAATTTTTGCATCGAGCAAATACGTATACTAAGCATAAAAGCTTTTGACTGGACTGTTTATAAAACATTCCGCTCCCAACAATGTGGATCCATAAAAAGCCTTCAGAGCAACTTTTTCTAGATTTTTACAGCCGTTTCCGCTTTGGTCCCTCTCCCTCCAAGTAGTGCTCCCCTGTATCCATCAGGCTCCCGCCAGAGTACCGAAGTTATGCCAGCGCTATGCCAGCATTTAGATCGATACACGTGTATTTTGTTAGCCCTCAGCTAGCCCCGTCCCAACGAAATAGGTACACGTGTGTCGATCGAAATGCTGGCGTAGCGCTGGCATAGCTTCGGCACTCTAGCGGGAGCCTCAGCAAGCCCGATCAATCCATCTTTCCCAGTTGACTTATCTAGCTCACCGTAACAAACTGTGGTCCTTTCCTCAGACTTATCATTACAGTGAATCAAGTTAGTGTGAGGCTTATATGTTTACTACATCTTTGTGTACTACACATATGCACCCACGTACTTGGCAACTGAAAAGTCAATTTTGTTATCCAAATTATCGCATTGCTATACCCATAATTCTGTTTTAGGATGTGAAAGACGGCATGTGGTGCCAAGCTTATCCCGATAATATGTGTGCGGACACATCACGAATTACAACTTTGATGAGCGATTGTGGATATGTTGACGCGCCATCTATCGCTCGTCGTCCCATCATATGTGGAACAGGTCTGCTACACAACCTTATCAACATCGGAAACCACTTCAAGAGCCACAATTCTTTTTTTCCTTTCGTTGCGATCTGCATGAGCTTTGCCATGGTTAGATCAACTCTTCTTTCACCACACCTAACAATGATTTGCCATGACGCGGAGGGTGCCAAAAAGAATTCTGAATTCCTGTTGATCACATATTGATGTGTTTCAATTCCATTCTACCTTCAGTAGTTTTGTTTTACGCTCAGAATACGCTGTACTGCGGAGTGATCCTAGCCAAAAATTACTTGCTCTTCTTCATTGAAATCAACGTGTATTGTGCGCATTTATAGACGCATCATTTTGGTTCCATCTCTTTCCTTCTTCTTCTTCTTTTTTATCTTTCTTTTATAAGATAAGATAGTTTTGGCGGTGATCACTTATTACAGGATGCATTCTCTGAGTGAGGTATATCGATTAACGCAGTGATCTTTGTCACAAAACGTCATAATGGTAGGATGAAAGTTATGTAGGGAATAAGCTTGTCTAACTCAATTTTGGACAATTTGTTACACTTTCTGTTAAATTTTGTGAAGGATTAATTTGGAAAAAGTCTGATAAAATCTAAAGTTTTACAGTAGTGCTTTTAATTTATACAAAATCCATCTTTTTAATCAGTATATACCTTTATACACAGGAGGCGGTGCTTCGACTGCCGAAACAAGACGAGGAAGTCTCCGAAAGGAAGAATCATGCAACAGAGGAGCTTCATTCAATAAGGCCAAAGGCCATTGTGAATGCGATAATCCTTCGGCTGATGGGAGAGTTGCATTTCCAGAAAAATATGGAAATTATCCTCCCGTGAGTTACTTCAATATTACAATTTCAAAAATCGGTTTGACTCCTTTCGTAAACCTGCTGAGACACTATTGGAAACAAGTTGTAAACAAATCATGGGTTTTTGAACACATCTTTAAGTAAAGTGAGCAAAATTAATTTTATCGGTATCATAGAAAATCTTTGTTGTGCGTTATTTGGCAACGTGTTGGTGACTTTTACAGCATGGCTAAAATGGCATTTACAGAATTAGTTGGGCCTCGCTCGGTCAATCATAGGCCCGTAGTAAACTCAATTTACTTCAAATGATTTCAACTGAAGGGCTGAGTTGAGGTATTTGAGATAAATTGACTAGCGGCCATTCCCACATGCTTAAGAATGCGACCTGATCTGACGGGCGAGCGTCAGAGAAGATGCCGCGATGAATTCACTTGAAATCCCTGCAAGAGCAGCCCCGGTCCGCGACAAGAGAGATGCCCTGATGGGGGGTTTACTACGGGCCATAAAGTCCTCACTGAGCATCCATTCAAATCAAATCTCTTTCACTGTTTTCGAGGACCCCTGCTAAACGATGGCAATGTTGGTATGAATTACCTCTCGTGTACTAGCACAGCATCGAGAGGGAACTAGCATAGTACAGGGTGTCTAAGGTTAGTGCTGTGCGCAGCTGATCACCGTCACCTTTTTATGACGGCTTTTTATGACTACTGTGGCCACTGTTGCGGTGGTACATTTGCATACATCCACATCAGTAACATTTGATTCAACTGGCTTGGCACCATTAGGGCGGGGTTTTGTGATCTAATTGAGGCCGCTCGCGCCCGCGACGCACCTGCGTCTCTCTCGCGCGAGTGCTCTCTGATCATTATTTAGCCTTAATTACGTCATGAAACCCCGCCTTTGCCGATGCCAAGCCAGTTGAATCAAATGGTACTTCATGGCTTGGGCTTTTGCTTTCGCACACGCCTGCCCTGTTTTCTATCGATTTATAACCAATAGCCTGCAAGTAGCAAGATACTGCCCCCATTTTCCGCAGGAAACGCTATAAACCATCTGTTAATTAATTAAGAGGTAGCCAGTGAGATGTGAAAGTCTGTGGAATGTATAGTTGATTTAGCCGAAGTCACTTGCACGCATCACTGGCATGATGCATGTAGGTATATATCGCGGTGTCTCAACGCAATCTCAACTGTTTTGAAGTGATTAATTTCCATTTGCAGCTAGCGTATTTTACAGCAGCAATACCTTTCATTTGCGAGTTTCAGCTGTATATTGGATGCAACGAAAATTCTGTTTAAACCTTGTTCAGGTTTAATCGCTAGTAACCACAAGACAACCTTACAACTGTTTATATCATCAAAATAACATGATTGAATGAGACATGAGACATCAACAAGGTTTGAATATTACCTTGGGGTGTTTGCTTGCCTTGGTTTTTGTGTTAGTGTCGCTATCGTGTTTGCGTTTTTTGGTCTTCTTAAAAGTTACACTTGTATAAATTAGTTTGACTCAAAACCAATTCATCTTACCTTTTGCATCTTTATTTCCTTTCTTAGGTTAATTACGTCCTCGTGGAGAGCCATGATAGATTCATGCAGACTTTCCATTGCCTGGCACTCGAGAGTGCATATGTGCGCGAGTGGCTCTCCTTTTACTTGGGATACTTGGGATTGATTATCTTCTTCACCTGTGAGTTCAACCTCCATTGCGACAAACTGGCTTACTTCTTCGCCACTGGTTTCATTTTCATTATCCCTTCTGTAGCCTTCTTCTTCCATTTCTGGAAAAGAATGATTTTGCTTGAAAAATTTGCTTGATTGTTTACCAATTGACGAATCGGTGGTTCAGTGGTAGAATGCTCGCCTGCCACGCGAGCGGCCCGGGTTCGATTCCCGGCCGATGCACCATGTTTAAACCTTGTTCAGGTTTAATCGCTAATAACCACAAGACAACCTTACAACTGTTTATATCATCAAGATAACATAATTGAATGAGACATAAGTTAGAATTACACATATTATTGCTTGTTCGAAGCGCCGCTTTGCTTGGAGGTCGATTTGCTTGAAGGAACAACGACGAGAGAGAATGCCTAAGCCTTTTCTCGATACGCCTGGTCGCATCTGCCCCGGCGCTCAGCCCCTTATGATAATCGTGATTATCACGACAAATTCGAAGAAAGTTGACTTTTTGAGAAAACAGTGCACCTATCGACGTTCATTTCTGGTTTGAAGCTGTTTCTACATTACAGCATTTTTTCAGGCATTCCTGTCTACGCCTATCTTACATTATTCGATAGTATGTCAGTACATAATAATTTATTACTACTGAGAATCGGCCTCCTTAGTTTCACCGCGAAGTAACCAGACTGACAAGCGATATGTGCGCGCAGGCATAATGTCAAACCCTGACCCATTTTTCAAATTTGCCCGCTTCGTTGTTTTTTTCCTGTCCCTGCGCAGCGCGCAGCAAACAACACTGCAAGAGTTCTTGTAGTCAAACGGGCTGACCTCCTCACCACTTCAACCCAAAGTCAAACATCGTGCTGACTACTAATTAGAGCTACTGAAATAAGCTTCCATTCTTACTTTCAGATAAGTCAACAAATTGATAAATCACTAGAACAGCCCGAAAAACTGTACAGAACTTAGCCCACACATGCGCCCGCGTCGAATATATATATCTATATACAGTGACCGCCGAAAAGTTGCGGACAAGCTCTCTCCCTTTTTCATCGTTCTTTTTCAGAGGAAAAACACGGATGAAAAAATGTAATAATTGCACGTGATAGAGCTCTTCAAGATCTAGGATCTACACTTTAAGCTTTTGAGAAACATGTATTCCAAAAATTTTAAGAATCTTTTTCTAAAAAAAGTCCGAAAACGGCCGCGTCACGACGTCGCGGACAATAATTCTTCGAACGCAAAAATTTTCTCTTGAGCCCTACTTCAAAGCGGAAACACAAGTCATCCAGACTGGTAAGCATACTACTATACAGAGCTCGTCAGGAACTACACACTGGTTTGGTTGCTTCCCCAAAAAACGCAAGCTTGAGTTTTATTTTGCTTCTTTCAGAAAACAACTTCTAATTTCCTTTATCAAGCCAAATTTCTTCACACGGAAACCTCAAGACATTCCAACAAAGCCGTCTGGATAAAACAGATGCTCTTTGCCATCCTCTATGCATCGGACTTGTGCTGATGATTCCTTGGCTGAAAATGGTCCTTGGCAGTCTTGCACATGACCCCAGCTGCACCTCACCGTTGACTTGTGCCGCTTTGCAGGCTTGTAACTCGGCCTGCAGTCAAGATTTGAGTCTACAATTAGGCTCATTCGAAAGAGCGTGATTTCCAGGACACGACCATATGCAAATGACTTGAGCTTGAATAATTCCAGAGATTTGGCGGATGGGTGAAAAAGTGCAGCCTTAGAAGTGATTGGAGTGAAGGCTCTTATAATACCAGAACAGTCTCAGAGCTTCGAAATGGATCTATTACAAGATTGACAGTTTTGCACTTCCAGAATGAAATGGGTAGCGAGAGGAGCTCTTTTCAACTTCAGTGCTTAGCCTACAACTGAAGCTGCCCTTTTCCACCCCATTCGCCAAATCTCTGAGATTGCTCAATTTGAACTTATTTGCATACCATCGTGTAGAGAAAGTCTCGTTCTTTCGAATGAGCCTAATTGCAGACTGAAACATTGACTGCTGGCCGAGTTACAAGCCTGCAAACGGTACAAGTCAGTGGTGAGGTGCAGCCAGGGTCATGTGCAAGCACTGCCAAGGGCCATTTTCAGCCAAGAAACTCATCAGCACATGTCCGATGCATAGATGATGGCAAAGAGCATTTGTTTTATCCAGATGGCTTTGTTGGAATGTCTTGAACAGGTTTCCGTGTGAAGAAATTTGGCTTGATAAAGAAAATTAGAAGTTGTTTTTTAAAAAAACTAAAATACAACTCAAGCATGCGTTTTCTGGGGAAGCAACCATAAGAAGTATCTAGTTCTTGACGAGCTCTGTATAGTAGTATGCTTAACCGTTTGGATAAATTGTGTTTCCGCTTTAAAATAGGGCTCAAAAAAATTTTTTTGCGTTTGAAGAACTATTGTCCACGACATTGTGACGTGGCCATTCATTATTTTAAAAACTTTAAGAATCTTTTTTAGAAAAAGATTCTTAAAGTTTTTAAAATACATGTTTTTCAAAAAGCTCAAAGTGAAGGTTATAGATCTTGAAAAGCTCTATCACCTTATGCAATTACTACCTTTTTTCATTCTTGTTTTCCATTTGAAAAAGTGCGATGAACAAGGGAGGAAAGCTTGTCCGCAACTTTTTGGCGGTCACTATATATATATATATATATATATGTGTGTGTGTGCAAAATTCTAACTAAAATGGTCGGCACAAACTTTCTATAAGGGTTGGGCCAGACTGCGCGGTGCGCGGCGTACGCGACGCATCTGGCTTCATGGCTTAGGCTAGGTTCGTACTGATCCCCATGTTCAGGAACAATTTCAGCACAGTTTTCGCACTGAGCTAAAAAATTTCTTTTTTAAAGTCTCCCATCGTGCACAGTTCTCCAAGTTCAGAGTTTTTTCATCAGAAGCAGAACAGTAATCAAAGGAAAGGCAAGCAGTAAAATTTGGGGGGGGGGGCGTATCGTTACGTGCGGGCTGCCAATTGGAAAACGCGCTCGACAGGCTGCAGTGACCGCATTCGGAGAATTCAGCCAGCGTGATCCACAACACATAGCTTTTCAGTTTCTCCTCCTTTTTTGAGGTTCACAGACTATTCTTATATTAATTTTACTTAATTATTTGAAGTTCTGCCACAAAAGTTGTAAAATGAGCTGTTAAAAAACAAAAAAGACACAAATTGAAAAAGGTATAACACTAACAATATAGAAAAAGCATTGGTAATCTAGTGATATAAATCTGACAAGTTTTCAACACTGCTGCTTTTCCCGCACAGTTACTGTAACGCTGCGTTGCGACGTTTTCATTTGGCAGCTCGCACGTAATGAGCGTTC